CTCAGGGAAGGGAGTCCCCAGGGAAGGGAGTCCCCAGGGAAGGGAGCACTCAGGGAAGGGAGCACTCAGGGAAGGGAGTCCCCAGGGAAGTGAGCACTCAGGGAAGGGAGTCCCCAGGGAAGTGAGCACTCAGGGCACAGCCAGTTCTCTCCACTTTTCTCTATGCAGGTGTTCCAGATCAGGGAGAGGAGGGCTGGGTCAGTTTCCTACCCTGAAAACTGGGGTCTGGGCTTGCAGGGCACTCACTTGGCCTGGGGGTCAGGGCATCCTGGAGTTCCTCTTGGTCGCAGGGATGGATGAAGTCAAAGATACTGTGTCCGATGAGCTCCAGCTGGGGGGAGGGTAGAGTTTGTAGTGGAGAGAAGGCACACTTAACAAGACCCCCGGGCTGCCCCTACGTCCTTTGCTTGTCGTGTTGGCCCCAAATCAGGCATCTGGTGGAGGTCATCAGCCTCCTCAGTCACTCATTCACTCACTCCTTCATTCAGCAAACAGCTATCAGCACCCGATATTTACTAGGACCCTTGCTAAATGATTAGACAGACCATAGATGGATCCTTGTCTTTCAGAGTTTACTGGGTGGTGTGCATGCACGTGTGTGTCTGGGGAGGCATCTGGGTATGGTCACATGATAATGAGATACTAGTTTAAAGACAGTGGCCCTGAATAGTTTCTTTGAGGAGGTAATGTTTGGGGGGGAAAATGTATTGGGCTGGAGAGGTGGCCAGGTTGGTAGCATGCCTGCTTAGTGCGGACCAGGCCCTGGATGTGATGATACCAGACACAGCATCTGGGCACTGTGTCAAGTACCTATCATCCCAGAAATGGCCATGTGGAGGCTGGAGGATCAGAAGTTCAAGGTCATCCTTGGCTACGTAGTGGGTTTGAGGCTAGCCTGGGCTACATGGAATGCTGTTTTAAAGGGGTGGAGGGAGCTCAGTATTGTAAGTGAAGTGAGTCTGTGGCTCTCTGGAGTAAGAAAATTCTTTAAAAGTAAGTCATGCAGGGTGGGGTGACCCATGCCTTTAATCTCAACACTCAGGAAGCAGAAACAGGTGGATTTCTGTGAGTTCCAGGCAAGCTAGGGCTACATAGTAAGCCCCTGTCTCAACAAAACAAAACAAAACAAAACACAAACAAACAAACAAACAACAAACAAACAAAAAAACCCCAAACAACCAAAAAACCAAAAATGGAGAAGAGACGGCTCATTGGTTAAGAGCACTTGCTGCTCTTACAGAGGACCTGGGTTCAGTCCCAGGACTCATATCAGGTGGCTGACAACTGCTTGTAATTCCAGTTTCAGGGGATCTAGTGTCCCCTTCTAGCCTCTGAGGGCACCTGCAACATACATGATGTACATACATATATTCAGGCCCCACATGCCATGCACGTGATGCACGAGTGTGCGCATGTGCGCTCACAACCCTCCCCCACAGTCAGTCTCCCCCATACACATAAAATAGATAAACTTCTACGAGTAATAACAAACAAATAAAATAAAAACAGGAGTCACAAGTGCAAAGTGCACCTCCTGGGCAGGTCAAAGAGTCTGTTACTTGTTTCCGTTTAGGAGGAGGGGACACAGAAGAAAAAGCACCCAGGGTGGGATCTGGGTGACACAGTACTCTTCCAATGACACCTTTTGTAGCTGGCTTTGATAGTTGGCTCTATCTCTTTCTAGTTTAGGACTTTGGGGCAGTCACTTGTCTGACTCTGAGAGTTCACACTCACAGAGAAATTGGTACCAGGAGTGGGGTTATGCATCAGGGAGAAGGAACAGAGGTCCACTGTACAGCCATTTACATGAAAGAGAAAAAAAGAACACAAGCCTTCTCATACAGGGTTTACTCTAAAGGTGAACTAAAGTTAGGTCTAGTCCCCAGGTGTCTTCCCCAGCTCCTCTCCTCCCACCTGAGGGGGTATCCACTCCCTGCTGATCCCCTCCTCTTTAGTCCTTCTGTTTCCTTCCTGAACTGTAAACACGGTTCTACCACTTTAGCACAACCTCTCTCTTGTTTTCACTCCCTCTATGGCTCCCAGCGCCTTGGAGACAAACCTTCTCACGTGAACATTATCGACCTATTGAACTGTCTGACCTTTTCCCCCTCCCAACTTCTTCTACTGTCCTCCGTCCACGGTCCACTTAGCCATTTCTCCAGAGTGTTCCATTTCCGTCTCACTTCCGGGCCTTGGCAATGTCCCAACACTCCTCCATGTACATTTGTGATCCTCACTGCTAAGTCATTCAGGTTGCAGCTAAGACGTTCTTTCTTCTAAGCAGCCCCCCAAGTGCATCTCCTCCCAGGCTGGGTCAGACATTTCCTACACCTAGGCTGTCCCATCACAGCATTGACCATTCTGTCTGGTGACATCCCTCTCTCCCCTCTGCTGTACTGTGAATTTCATAAAGGAAGAACTAAGGTCGTGGGGAACCACGGTCCCCCCAGCATCACCACTGGGGGAGAGGGGCAGGTACAGAGCAGGCAGCTCACCTGACTGAGGCCCAGGTGCTTGCTGACATTTTCCGACAGGTAAACCATGTCTCCTTCGGCGGTGAGCACCATGACGAACCCCTCGAGGGCCTTCAGGTAGCAGGCGTCCAGTGGCTCTCCCCCTTTTCCCACCTGGTTCCACTCCCCTGGTGCCCAAGCCGGCGGGGAGGGGGAGGACGGGGCAACTGTGGTCAGTCATGGACCCACCCTAGCTGGTTTCCCTCCATCTTTCCTCACCCACGTGAACTCACAGAAAAGCCTGGGTGAGTGGGAGAAAACCCTAGGGGCTTGGAACTAAACTTTGGAAGCAGGAATGTGGACTTACAGAGGGGACATAGAATCCCCCAAGATTCTAAGACTGAACTCTTGGAGGAGTCGAACTTCAGAGAGGCCTGGGGGCACCTGGAATTCTAGAGTTGTGAGTTTTCTAGAATTCTTGGGGGAGGGTGTGGATGGCCTGCCAGATGGCCAGAATTCTAAAATGTCAGGGATTTCCAGAAGACAGAATTCCAATACATTTTATTTATTTCCTGTGCACGTGGATTCTGAAGGGGTAAACTCCCCCTCCCCCAAATTCTATGGGGTAAGGGAATTTAGTGGGCAGACTCTCTATAATGAAACCTTTTCAAATTTCTAAGTTTTTTAGAAAAAATTTCAGGAGTCTGTGAGTGTGTGTGTGTGTGTGTGTGTGTGTGTGTGTGTGTGTGTGTATGAGAGAGAGAGAGAGAGAGAAAGAGAGAGAGAGAGAGAGAGAGAGAGAGATAGCGCACACAAGTGCTCTCTCTAGGCAGAGAGGTGGCTGCTAAGATAATAAGAAATTGAACTAGAGGAGAAGAGGGGAGAGGATGAAGAGAGACTTCCAGGAATTTTAAAACAATGGTTGGGGAGCCTCCTGGGGTGGACCAGGATTGGCTAAGCATGGTGGCTATGTGAAGCCGAGGCAGAAGGATCAAAAATTCAAGTCTTGTCTGGCCTACCAAGTTAGTTCAAGTTCTTACTAGTTGAGTAACCCAGTACGACCCTGTGTCAAAACAGTAAAAAGACGGTTGGGGGGGTGGCTCAGTGGTAGAGCCCCTGCTTAGAATCCCCCAGTGAGGGGCTGGGGGTGTTGCTCAGTGGTAGAGCCCCTGCCTAGAATCCCCCAGTGAGGGGCTGGGGGTGTTGCTCAGTGGTAGAGCCCCTGCCTAGAATCCCCCAGTGAGGGGCTGGGGGTGT